TGCAGCTTGCTTCAGAAACCCTCCACCTTCCCAAGCTCCACCTGTATAGATCTGCTATGGGTTATTTCATGTATGTTATGTGTGCAGCAGCAGTATTTCTTACATGCTTACAGCAGCATGTTGTGGATGTGTTGGCAGTAGCAAGTCTCGGTACTTGCTCTGCCGCAGCAGCAGCGTAGCAGATCTATTCCACCAAGACCAAATACATTAACATTGTCATGTACATTACCATGCCAGTCCCTCCGAGAGTTGTCATGACAGAACTGATATTATGCACAGAACTAATGGAAGTGCAACTAGCCATGTTAATCCTGTCGTTCCATATTTTACCAATTGGATTTCAAAGTATGATTAACTCTTTCAAGTACGCCTGATGATTGTAGTTGTTCTTGGCAATGAAAATGGCATCAAGTTTCCTGAAGTCTAAGACTTCCTGACTTTCCTGACCCGTAAAGTGTGTCTTGAGGCAGTATTTTAACCTTAACGAGAGCAGTATCCTTTGCTAATTAAAATTGTAATATAACCCAAACATCCTGAAATAACCTTTAATTTTAGAAAGAGTTATAAAATTGTATTGCAATTTACACAACATGAAGCATTCATTTTTCTAAAACCTTATGTTTTATGTTATGTATTTTTTAGTTTATTTTGATCTCCCTGTTCTTGGGTTAACACATGTCTTGTGAATGATTTTCCCAGTAGTCTGATAAAGCAAGTGCTTCCCGTTTCAATTCCTTAAAAACTATTCCAACCTCAAGAGTCCAGTCATTAACAGCTTTTTTAACAAATTTTAGCAAATTCTTTTAAAGCTGCGAAATCTCCAAAAAGAATCTCAGCTCTTGAATTGTTTTAGGATTTACATGTATTCTAACATCTCACAGCTGCTAGATGTTACAGTATACATTTACTCTAATGATGTTGAATCAAAATCTTTCAAAATGCTATAAAAACTAGTTTAGCCTTTTCTTTAAACTATTCTAAAATTATATTTTAGCCTTTTTTGTGATGTAATGTTAGCTTTCTGCACTGTGGCATTAATCAACTATAATCAACTATCAAGAATTACTACTTCTGCTTATATGATCTTAAAACACTTTTTATTGTTGTCATGTTCTCAGAAGTTAACAGAGGACAGAGGAGATGAAGTGGTGATAAAAATGTGCAGGGTTATTGAATAATCTATGTTGCATATGTTTTAATGCTCAGACTTTGTCCTGTACTTTGTTTGACCAGCACAAATTCAACAAGTCTTATTATACCAAACCAAAAGCAATGGAAAATTATTGCTTCACATTGTCCTGTGACGTAAAAAACCTTGAAATGGAATTGAAACTTATGAAGACAAATAAACCACACAATTGTTAGATTAAACAACAATAGCAAGCATCGCAATAGCAAGGAAATAGTAAGTAATATAAAATATGAAAATAGAATAAAAATGGCTTGAATAAATTATTAAATGACAAACTATATAAATGAATAACTAACACAGCAAAAAATGTTATGTTTGTTCTCTTGAAACTACACACACAAATTGCTAATAAAGGAGTAGTTCACCCAAAAATAAAACTTAGCTGAAAATGTTCTCACCCTCAGGCCATTCAAGATGTAGATGAGTTTTTTTTCTTCATCAGAACAGATTTGGATAAATTTAGCATAATATCACTTGCTCACAAATAGATCCACTGCAGTGAATGGGTGCCGTCAGAATGAGAGTCCAAACAAATGGATGGATTATGGACTGGGTATTTTAGCCAGAAGAAACGGTTTAAAGTAAAAACATCTGGATGAATTTGTTTCTTACAAACATAGTTTTTCACTTCACAAGACAGTAATTGATGGACTGGAGTGTTATGGATTACTTGTGGATTATTGTGATGTTTTTATCAGCTGTTTGGACTCTCATTCACTGCAGAGGATCCATTGCTGAGCAAGTGATGCGATGCTAAATTTCTCAAAATCTGTTCCCATGAAGAATTTTCAGTTTTGTGTGGACTATTCCTTTAAGAATCCTTAGCTCCTTCACTGCAAGACCATCAACATCAGTCCTCACAGAGTAAAGTAGGTAGATGTGATATCCGTATCTGCCGGGCAAAGTGAATCGATGCACATGAATAATTTGTGTTCATTTGAGAAGGGGAAGAGAGGAGAGTGTAAGTAACACTGTATTATACAAACCTGGCTGACGTGAATATTGATGATGACACTATGCATAAATTTAGCAGTCTTAAGTACTCATTATGAAATATCCACCATTAAACAACACATTGAATTGATCAGACATGCCAGTAACTGTGTGTGGATTAATTTAGGAATAGTTTGGGGGGAAAATTGTCTCCAGAATAATATATAACAAAACCCATCTTTGGGGTCATATGGGGACATGCATATATATATATATATATATATATATATACTGTATATATACTGCATATAATATAGTCTAAGTATACATGCAATTTCTCTGTGTGGTTTTGCATGCTGAAGTGAAATGGAAAAATGCAATGACTCGACTGATGGAATGAAAAGTATCCTAGACAGTTGCCAGCCTTTGAAAACAAGTCAGTATCATAGAAAGAGTGTTTTTCTGGCTGATGGCAACCTGAATATCACATGCATGCACGCTGAAACGCCTCAGGCTCTATTCCAAATCCGTTCCGCTAATGTGACTTAAATCAAATCTTGTTTGCCTACTATTTGTAACTGCCCTAAATCTGCACCGACGAGTGGCTATTGAACATTTTTTGGCTGGGTATGTTAACAATGTCTGCTTTTGTGTGTATATATTCAATGTAAAACAACTCCCATGGGTTGGAGCAATGTTTACGTGGGTTATGAATCTCGGTCAGAGAAAGTAGGTGCTTTTTTATTTCTGTCAGACATGCTGGCCTATATTTTGTATTGGGCCAATAAGAGCAGCAGGGCAGCCGCATGTGACAGGTTGACATTTTTCTAGTGTTTTCTGAATGCTTGTGGCTCCAGTATTTAATTTTACTACCATTTTCGTCTATCTGCCCCATATATATATATATATTATTCTGTATATATAAACACACACAACAACAACCTTGATTTATGGAACATCTCTCTATTGTAAACTAGAGTGTTTGATAGTGTGGGTGCTGCATTGTTCATGATTCAATAATATGAAGGAAGTAGCTCTTCCTGTTCCTGCTAAAACAGCTGTATGGCTTTAATAGCAGGTATTATCTGCACTGTGTGTGGTGGCATCGTGCTTTTATATATCAGCTTGGCTCCAGCCCAGCACATTACACTTTAATCATCTTTTTGTGTGTGTGTATGTGTGTGTGGCTGATTGTATTCATAGTCACATACACGCAGCTCTGTCTGAGGATGCCTGTTATTCTCTCTATCCGTGAGAAATGATGCGGGTCACGCTGTAGAATCAGCACCCGCCATCAATCACAGCACATCTTACTCACATCTTGCTGTCACAATCGACTCGTTTTTCCATAAAACTGTAAACTTGTATATTTAGTGCTGCTCAGTTTTGGTGGCAATGTACTTGTCTAAGAAAAGTCAGTAAAAATACGGCCCAGTGTTCTGTTAATATGAAGGCATTTTCTGTATTGTTTATTACAGGTGTTCTGTCAGTTTTTTTGAATTACACATTGCATTATGCATAACCATTTTTCATTTAATTGACTATTTAATGTTTTTTCTGCATTATGATAGCAGTTATATCACACAGACGTGGTTGACGAGTAATTGTCCTGTTCTTGATGGTTATCGATGAGAGAGCGTTGTGTGATTTTCATGTGTCTGCTTTCAGGGAGCTGAACTTCCGTAACTTCACTCTGATTCAGCTGAATGAGGAGTTTTCTCGGGGTCGAGGGCTGGATGTGGGCGCTCGTGCTTGGAAGGGAGGCAACGTGCTGCTTTTCTTCTGTGATGTGGACATCTTCTTCACAGCCGACTTCCTGAACACATGCCGTCTGAATACCCAGCCTGGTGAGAGAAGAGAGGAATATCTATCTATATATACAGTATACAGAGCTGAGCCAATTTGGCAATTTGGACACTTAAAAATGGCTTTGCATTAGAAACAAAATATTGAACAAATTGGCATCTGACTCAAATGCGGCTAGAGCTTTTCTCAGAAATAACTTCCTTTTTCCAACCACTTCTGCATTGACTTTTAATCAGCTGTTGTCATGGTATTTAGTTGATGTATGGATCACTTCTCCAAGTGTGGCTAATAAACTAACCACAGGTGTAGAGATTCACACACAATTATCAACATGATCAGCAACAATTGACAAGCATGTTGTTTAGTGCTCAAATCCTCTATTCTATATTCTTATTGTGAAATGTTTGGCTTGAATAGTGCACCTGTGCTAGCATTATTTAAAATAAATGAGTCTTGTCATATAAATGATTAAGCGTGGCTTAAATGTATATGTGTACGTATATGCTACTATTCAAAAGTTGGGGTTCATTAAGAATTTTTTTTAAAGAAATTAATACTTTTATTCAGCAAGAGCGCATTAAATTGATCAAAAGTGACATTAAGGGCATGTATAATTATTTATCATTTAAAATTAGAATGGTTTCTGAAGGATCATGTGACACTGTAGACTGGAGTAATGATGCTGAAAATTCAGCTTTACATCACAGTAATAAATTACATTTTAAAACTAGAGCTGTCAAGTGATTACAATTTTTAATCAACATGGTTTTCTGGTTAATTAATAGAATTAGTCACAAATTAATCACACTTAAATTTGGGCTTAGAAATTACCTCTCCAGAATATCATTTAAAGTCATTGTCGTGTTAAATGAGAAAATCATTGCATAGACATTATAAAAAGCAGCTTTAGAAAGAAATATTTTTTATTTATTTAGAATTTATTACAAATAAACTTTTAAGGCTGCAGTGTTTTCTAAAGTGGCATTTATGTATATTTACACAGACTGTAAAGAGATGCCAGGAATGCATTTAATATGCATTTAATAGGTTTTAAATGGACATTATTGGGTTGCATATAAAAAATGAATATTGAAATATAATATTAAAAATAAAATATTATTAATTAATACTCTAATTATGTAACCAAAACTGCAGGGCCCATTAAATGCGTTAATAATTTTAATGTGTATTTTTTCCATAATTAGTCTCACAAAATTAATTCGACAGCTCTATTCAAAAATGTAAATAGTTATTTTAAATTGTAATAATATTTCACAATATTACTGTTTTTACTGTATTTTCGATCAAATAAATGCAGCCTTGGTGAACATAAAAGACTTCTTCCAAAAACAAAAAAACTTTTGAATGACCATCTAATGATAAGTGCTTAAATGAGGAATATATGCTGTGCTCGTATCATAACCAGCTGTGTGATCTGACTCTTGTCTTAGGAAAGAAAGTGTTTTACCCCATTCTCTTCAGCCAGTACAACCCAGCTGTAATCTACGGCAGTCATGATCACATCCCCCCTGTGGAACAGCAGCTGGTAATGCAACTCATTTTCATGAGGAGATTAAAATGTTTCATCAAGTTTGATGTGATTAATTGATGCATTGTGATGGAACACAATCATCACGCTCACTCGGCATTGATATTCTGAGCGTGTAGATAATAAAGAGCTTGATTAAATGTACTGATAATGCGGAAAGCTGACATGAGACCAGGGGCTAAAAGGACATTTGCCACACCTGCTAATGCTGATTGAATTGAGAAAATCTATTAGCCTAAATATTTCTTACTGGCCATGACTATATATTAAAGGGGTCATATGATATTGCTAAAAAGAACATTAGTTTGTGTATTTGGTGTAATGCAATGTGTTTATGCGGTTTAAGGTTAAAAAAAAACATTATTTTCCATATAATGTACATTATTGTTGCTTCTCTATGCCCCACCTTTCTGAAACGTGTTGATTTTAACAAAGCTCATCGGTCTGAAAAGCGAGGTGTGCTCTGATTGGCCAGCTATCCAGTGCGTTGTGATTGGACGAATTCCTCAAGCGTGTGACGGAAATGTTACATCCCTTAACATACTGTGATGCTGTCTCCCAGCAGGACGAGACAAAACCAATAAAACCCATTACAAACGAGGCATTTGTTGCATCCAGTGGGGACATAAATAC